GGCGCCGGGAAAAACTCAGCTGCGTCAGCTGCGTCGCCCGGCCCGGCAGGGATGGTCCTGCTGCCGGGTGCGGGCCGCGGGGCCCCCCGGTGAGGGCCGCAGGGGTGCCCCCGGCGGGGGCCGTCGGGAGAGCCCTCCGGAGCGGCCCCGGGGCGGGGCCGCGAGGGGCGGCGGGCGCCCGGAGAGCTCCCAAGACGGCGCCAGCATGCCCGAACGTAGCCTTTGTGTCGGGCCTGTCCACCTTCAGGCGGATCTTGGACGAAATGTTTTTATATATATATATATATATATATGGACACACCTACATACATACAGACAGACAGACAGACAGACAGACAGACAGACAGACATGCATGCATGCATGCATGCATGCATGCATACCTACGTACGTACGTACGTACATACATACATACATGCATGCATACATACATACATTTATGCATATGTATAACTAAAGTGTTTGACCATTCTTGCAAATCCCAAGGCCGGACCTGCGGCCAGCGCGCCCTCGGGCAAAACTGAACCACGGACATATGCCCATGCAGATCTGAAGCCGCTCACCTTCGTAAAACACAGGCTGAATAAGTTTCGGAGGACGCGGAGTATGTTTTCTTCAGCTATCACACAACGCGGAGTAAGTTCAACAAGAACGCGGAGTAAGTTAATCCACGTCCAAGAACGTGCGGAGTAAGTTTGTACACCGTAATAAATTTATAGTACTAAGGAGAAGCGGTGTGGGCGGGATCCGAAACCTACTCAGCGACAGGCAGATGCCATGTTGCAGGATTCTACGGGGGGAGGGGGGTCCGTCGACGAAATGGTCAAAACTTTGGTAACGCCATTGTATCTATATATATATGTTTAAACATATATAAATATACATATATATATATATGCATGACTGCAAAAACTTGTGTATAACAATACGCTTGTTACAAATACTACAAAAAAAAAGAAAGCAGAAGCAGCAGCAAAACAACACAAAAAACAAAACGAAACAAACAAAACAAAACAAACAAAACAGAGCCCCCTGGCTATGGGACTATGTTTGAATATTCCTCCTGTAGAGGGACAGGCCCGACTTGAACGTAGCCTTCAGATGGCCCAAGACAGCCGACGAGAGCCCCCATAAGCCCAAATTCATGCATGACCCAAGTGACTTTAATATGTGCACGCTCTCGTTTTTGTTTGCCTTCCGACTGCCCAAGACGGATGCAGAGGCCCCCAATGTAACTCCAAGACGGCCCAAGAGGCATCCAGGAGGGCCCCAAGACGGCACAAGAAGGCTCCAAGACGAGCCAAGAGCCCGTCCAAGAGGGCCCAAGAGGTTTTCGATAGGCCCCCAGGAGGGGCCCAAGGGAGGGCACCCGAGCTGGCATGTCAGCCCTGTTCCGCAAAGATAGCCCCTGGACCGCCAGCAGGCCTTCAGAGGCTCCCAACACTCCCCCAACAGGCTCCAGGAAGCCCCCGAGATCCCTCCACGAAGCCCCCGCGGGCCCTCCCAGGAGACCCCACACAGTCTCCGCCCTTCGCCGTTCGGGCTCCCGAGGATTTAGGAGGGAAAGAAGCGCACAGACACAGTGAACCGCCGACTCCCAGGAAAATATCGGAAAATGTGGGAAGTGGGGGGGGAAGACGAAAGCCCAGAAAATATAGGATTATCCCAGTGCGACCCTACCTAGGAGTTGGAACCCCTAGGAAAGCAGCATTAGTAGTAACAGTACCGCTAAGCTAAAGTTAAGCTAAAGCTGAGCAACAGCTAAGCTAAAGCTAAGCTACAGCTAAGCTAAAGCTAAGCTAAAGCTAAGCTAAATCTAAGCTACAGCTAAGCTCAAGCTAAGCTAAAGCTAAGCTAAAGCTAAGTTAAAGCTAAGCTAAACGCTAAGCGAAAAGCTAAGCGAAACGCTAAGCTACAGCTAAGCTAAAGCTAAAGCTCCCAGGGGACTGGGGGGAACCGCTTCCAGGGGACTGGGGGAACCGCCCGGGGCGCGTTCCACTGCCCGGCCCTTTAAGCTAGAGAGTAAGAACCCTTCTAGGCAGAGCCTAGGTAGGGAAATAGATACATATATATATATATATATATATATACACATATACATATATATATATATATGTATGTATGGAACCCTGCTATTCCTGTCTGTTTATGTGTGTGTCCCTGGGCCCCCCCCGAGGACTGCGCCGCCGAGCCCCCCCCCCCCCCGGAGACCCCCAGGGCGCGCGCGGCGCGTGCCGCGCCGGCCCTCCCCAGGGTGGCCCCCGCGGAGCGCCCACGGCCGCTGCCGCCCTCGAGGCCTTCGCCGCCGAGCCTCGGGTCGGGCCCGTCCCTCGACAGGAGGGAAGGTTCCAGAGTGGTCAAAAAAGTAGTCTGGGGACGATTTGTTTGAGCATTTTGGGGCGATATTTTCAGTATTTGGAAGTATGTCTCTAAGTATCTGGTATTTGGGGCGATTTTTGAAGCATTTTGGGACGACTTGTTTGAGCATTTGGGAGTATTTGAGTAGTCAAGAGTGGTCAAAAAAGTAGTCTGGGGACGATTGTTTGTTAGTGTTTGGAAGCATTTCTCTAAGTATGTTTGCCCTGTGCTGAGATCTGTCCTCCAGAATCCGCCTGAGGGGGGGCACGCCCGACCGAGCCCGAGCCCCATCTGAGCCACAGGGCGTGCCAGGGTCGGGCGCCGCGCCATGGCCGACTACGCCGCGGTCGCGGGTCTCTCAAGGCGGCCGCGGACGACGGGGCCGCAGGTAATTAAGCGGGCGAAGGACGGTGGAGCATGATCGTTTCCGCCATCCGGGGGGCGCCTGTCCCAGGCCGGCTGGAAAGGTTAAACCCCCACCTACCACCCCAGGGGTGCAGGCTTCCCAGCCGCCCTGGGACAGGCGCCCCAGATGGCGGAAAAGCTCAGGGTCGGACCGAGGTGTAAGATCGAGGTCGGTTCGGGGAGGGTGCCATAGTGTTCTTCGTGTCTGTTGGACGTTCTTGTGCATCCTGGGGGAGGGCACCCTTCGATGCTCTGCTTGTCTTGGCTGGCGGAGGATATCATGTTTTTGAGGAATTTGGTTCTGTCCTAGGTCCGGCTGTATTCGAGTAGGGGATCGACTACAGAATTGGTTTTCCCCAAAGTTCATGCTCTCGTCAAATGTGCGAGAATGCGTAGGATGCTCGACGAGCATCCTACGCATCCTCGTTATATGGAACGATCTACGAGCAGTGCTCGTAGATCATTCCATACAACTGCCACAGGTTCGACGAGGAAACCACTTCTGGGGTAAACCGATTCCGCGGTCGATCCCCCACCCGATGCATGCCATACAGTCGGGGCCCTGAAGAAGGAACCCTTTTGGTTGGGGAGGGGCTCGATGTTCCTTACTTGTTCCACACCTTTTCTAAGGTTTCCCTTCTGTTTTCGATGGGAAGTCAAAGTTTAACTTACGAAAAAAGGGCCTCGTTCCTTATTTAGGGTTCCTTAGGTCAACGCCCCGACTGTAGCGCTCCTCGCCCCCCAACGCAGGGGGCCAGCAGCAGCGGGCCCCGCGCCGAGGTGCCGGCCGTCCCGTGGAGGCTGCCGCGGGCCGGGTGCCGCGCCGCGCTGGCGGCGGCCCTGTGGCGCGCCGCGGGCGCGGGCACCGGCGCGGGGTCGGCGAGCAGACGGGCCAGGCCAGCGGGCCAGGAGGGGGGATCCTCGAGCCCCGACCCCTCGAGCCTCGAGCCCCGACCCCTCGAGCCTCGAGCCCCGAGCCCTCGAGCCTCGAGCCCCGACCCCTCGAGCCTCGAGCCCCGACCCCTCGAGCCTCGAGCCCCGAGCCCTCGAGCCTCGAGCCCCGACCCCTCGAGCCTCGAGCCCCGACCCCTCGAGCCTCGAGCCCCGAGCCCTCGAGCCTCGAGCCCCGACCCCTCGAGCCTCGAGCCCCGACCCCTCGATCCTCGATCCTCGAGCACCGACCCCTCGATCCTCGAGCACCGATCCTCGAGCCTCGAGCCTCGATCCTCGAGCACCGATCCTCGAGCCTCGAGCCTCGAGCCTCGAGCCTCGAGTTTCGAGCCTCGAGCCTCGAGCCTCGGCCCTCGATCCACCCTGCACCGCGCGGGGGGGCTCGGGGAAGAGGGCGATACCTTGAGGAAGCAAAAACCGCCATAGGCATGATTTGTTGGCGCTCCGCGCGGGTTCCTTGGGTACGCTTCTCTTGACGTGTCCCGTGTCGAAGAAGAATAAGAAACGTCATAAGCATAAACGTTCAGAGCTCCGCGCGGATTCCTTGGGGCCGCTTCTTCTGACATGTCCCGTGTCGAAGAAGAAGAAACGTCAAAAAACATAAGCGTTCAGGGTTCCGCGCGGATTCCTTGGATCCGCTTCTTTTGACATGTCCCGCGTCGAAGAAGAAGAAACGTCATAAACATGAGCGTTCGGAGCTCCAGGCGGCCTCCTTGGATCCGCGCTGGGCTCCCCCCCGGCGGCGCCTCCGGCGCCGCCCCTGCTCCGATCGCGCCGGGGAGCGGGGCCTCCGGCGCGGATCCAAGAAATCCGCGCGGGGCGCCAAAAGTTTATGTTTGTGCCGTCGTTTGTGCTTCTGGATGCCTCGAAAAAGCAAATGGAGGGGCGAAGAGCGACATGAGGCGGGCTGCTCCGCCATCTGGGGGCGCCTGTCCCAGGGCGGCGGGGAGGTCTGTGCCCCTGCAGCGGCAGGTGGGGGCAGAGCCTTCCCAGCCGCCCTGGGACAGACGCCCCCGAGGGCGGAACAGCTTATGCTAGACGGTCCTTCGCCCGCTGAAGAAAAAACAGTGTGGATATAGATTGTCGGAGTTCCGCGCGGATTTCTTGTATCTGCGCAGGGCCCCCCTGGCGGCGCATTTCTTGGATCTGCGCTGGGCCCCCCTGGCGGCGCCTCCGGCGCCGCCCTTGGCGCGCTCCTCGCGCCAGGGAGGGGGTCCAGCGCCGATCCAAGAAACCCGTTCGGAGCTCCGACATTTGATGTGGTTGCAGTTTTTTTTTGGTCTGCTAGGTGATGCGGGCATGCAAGTCGACCGCAATCTCACCACGGCCCTCAGTGTGACCGAGAGCCTCGGTGGGACTAAAACGTCCACTGCCGCTAGCAGCAGAGTCGCCGCTGTTTTGGCGCACGACCGGGAGCTGGTCAAGGGGGGAAGAGCTGCTGGCGCGTCGGCTGCGGCAGCGGGCGCTTCCCCGACGGCCGCACGGGCGAGGGCGGCGGGAGCAATTAGAGCTTGGAGGAGTGCCTGACGGCGTGCATCTGGAGAGCGGCTTCTGCCACGGGAGCACGGTGGTCGCAGGCCACGCGACGGACGGCCCGTACTGGTTGCCCTCGGAGCTGGTGCTCGACGAGTGCCAGGACGGCCCGTCCCATAACACCTACAGACGGGGCCCCGTCGCGGAGCGCGTCGCGCAGGTCGAGGAGACCTCCAGCTGGACGCGCAACGAGGGCCGCGACTGCTACCCCGGCGCCGGCAGCTAGCCCTTCCCAGAGATCGCGGGCGTCCACTTCCAGGCCTGCGACCTACGGGGCGCGGAAGATCTCCGTGAGCGAGTGCATGCTGCGCTGCGAGCAGGACTGGTGAGGCCTCGGGCTGCGCACAGACAGCCAGTTTGGTATCGTTTTGGTCCCCGTTTGGAAGCGAGGGTGGTCAAAAGCGAGGTAGGTCCGTTTGCCCCTTAGAGTAGTCCGGGCCGGTCACAACACCCTGGCGCCCCATCCGGCGGCGCCCCAGGTGCGCTTCGCGCCCTAGGCCTCGGGTGACGAGACCGCCCTGGACGCCTCGGGGGGCCTGGCTGGAGGCCAGCCCAGGCTGCCCAGGGTGGGCCTGCCAGTGCGCAGCCCGAGGCCTCGCCCAAGCAGGACCCGCTGTGCGAGGCCGTGGTCGTGGCCCACCAGGACCGCGCGGCGTTCACCCCCTGCAAGCTGCGCATGCTGGTGGCGCCAGGGTCGTGCTCCAGGATGGGCTACACGTAAGAGTCTTACCCTTCGCCGGAGTGACCCTGAGTGCGGGCTCACAGCACCCCCCCAGCATTATCTCGCGCGCTGAGAATCGCCCTTCCGCGGCACCCTAGAGCCGCGCACCAAAGGTTACTCTTGTAGGGTCATTCCTCGGAGAACCAGAGGCGACATAAACAAGACCTTCCGGAGGCTCGCGCGGATTCTTCGGATCGGCGCCAAAGCCCCAATGGGACGGGGGGTCCAGCTCCGATCCAAGAAATCCGCGCGGGCCTCCAAAAGTTTATCAGATTGACAGTCAACCGCATCGTAGTGATGAGCGATTTTCCAAGTTTACCCTTGCACCCTTGCCCCTTCGGCCCACCCCAGGCGACTTTCGCTGGACGACCTCGTTCGAAAAACGTTAGCATGGCCCTCCAAGGCCGTTGTACCTTTGCCGCGCATCCTCATGATGCGGGTTGACTGTATGTCATTGCTTGTTCCTCGAGCTCCTGCGCATAGCCTTACATCGGGCATATCCTCCTACAGGCGGATTTTGAACGAAAAACTAAAAATGTGCAAGCAATGCCCAAAGATTATCAAAAATAGTCGAAACATCGTCCCCAGAGCATGTTTTGATTACTTTGGAAATATTCCTCCTGTAGAGGGACAGGCCCAACTTGAGCATAGCCGGCAGGAACATGGCGTTCGACACCTGGAGGATGGACACCTGGAGGATGAACAACGCTGCCGTCGACACGGCACCTGAGAAAAACAGAGGGGACCCTCCTCCTCCTCTTCCTCCTCCTCCTCCTCCTCCTCCTCCTCCTCCTCCTCCTCCTCCTCCCCCTCCTCCTCCTCCCCCTCCTCCTCCCCCTCCTCCTCCTCCTCCTCCTCCTCCCCAGGGGGCGTCGAACATGGCGTTCGACACCTGGAGGATGGATGGACCCGGGGGCCACACCCTGGCCCCTCTGGGCGTCGATAGCCCCCCCCCCGCCGCGGCGCGCCCGGGCGGCACCGCCCTCCACGGCGTGTGCTCGACATGGTCGAGGGTTCGGTCGGGCATGTCCCCCTACATCAAGGGCATAAAAAAAACGCCCCTACCCTGTTTTACGAGGCGCTGTGCGCTGAAACTCCTGTGGGCTGACAGGGTAAACCCTGCGTAATGTGCCGCGCCCTGGTGGCTCTAGGCTTTGGGGGTTCCCAGGAGGTTTACAGACCACGCACTTGTAACCCAGGGTCGGGTCGTTTTTTCATCCCTCAACGACAGGTGCATGTTGGACGAAACATCAAAAAGGAGACCCCCAACACATTCAAACATGGCCACCACTCGTCGAAACGATGTCTGAAGATTCCTCCTGTCGAGGGACGTGCCCGACTTGGGGCAGGGGCGAGGGCTTCGGCGAGATCGACCTGCCGAGGTGCTCCCAGACCCCCTCGCGTGGTGAGAGCACCGCGGACGGGGGGGTAGGAGGAGGAGGAGGAGGAGGTAGGAGGAGGAGGAGGTAGGAGGAGGAGAAGGAGGAGAGGAGGGAGGAGGGAGGAGGAGAGGGGGGTCTTCGCTGCGTTCGGCCTCCGGGGGCCGCCACCTGGGCCTCGGGGCTGCAGAGAGACACGGCTCGGGGTGGAAAAACCGGTCCCGTGGGAGGGGGTCGAGACGTCCGGGGGTCGGCAAGAGGGAGGAGGGAGGAGGGAGGAGGGAGGAGGGAGGAGGGAGGAGGGAGGAGGGGGGAGGGGGGAGGGGGGAGGGGAGGAGGGAGGAGGGAGGAGGGAGGAGGGAGGACATCGACCTCAGGGATTTGACATGTTGCCATCCAGGGATTTGTGCGAACAAATCTCCACGTCGGGGGCTTGGGCTCAGGGGAGGGCGAGTTGAGATAAGGGTAGGTTCGAAGGCCTGGGCTCAGGCACATGGCGTCTCGAGCAGTAACCCCACGAGCGTTTTTCATCGTTTGCGGCCTCTCCGGCCCCTTGCAATGGAAGCCCATGCCAAGAAACAAATTGCTTGCCTGCAGGGTGCCCTGGGTGTCTTGGGTTTCGATGGTTTTGCTATGGAAAGCGCGACGTCCCCACACCAAAAATCAGTGGACACCCTGGGATCTCAGGGTTGGGTTTCTTGTGGAAGGTTTATTGTGGTCGAGCTCCTACTGTAACAGGCCTCGGGACCGTCAAAAACTACTCAGGATGAAAAGCGGGTCGCAGGGAAGTGGTCGGGAGGTCGGGGGCCCGCGTCTCGAAAAAAAATCGAAGCTTTGGATGCCAGGGGAAGTGGGCGCCAACACCACAATATCGGCGGCGTGCCTCCACCGAGAGAAGGAATGATCCCGATCTCGATGATGGTGGTAATATTCGGGCTTGCCAGGTTCGGCGGCAGGCGAGGGGGGGAGGTGAGAAGGGGCGGGCCTCCTCAGAAGGCTCGGGAGTCCCCCGCCCTTTTGAAAGGTTTTCTAAGCCTTCCCCGAAGACACGGACAATTTCTCGGAAGGCGCGAGGGCTTCCGAGAAGTCCCGCCGCCTTCTGAGCAGGCCTTCTCCTTCTCATTGCCCCCCCTCGCTCGCGCCGCCAAGAGCTGGCCGAGAGATCACCGCCGGCACCGAGCTCCAGGATCCTCTTGCCCCCTGTGGAGGTACGCCCCCCGCGTTGGTGCTGGTGGTCACTCCCAAAAGCCTCCAGGTGCCTGGCCTTCGAGGAGCCCCATGGTCGCCACGGCTGGGCGCCGCTCGGAAAAGCGGGTCCGCCTAGGCCAGGGAGGGGTCCAAGGGAGCGCTTTTCTTGGCATCGCTCGGACGTGTGCATTTTTTGGCTCGGCGAGGACCATCGAGGAGCATCCTGGATCATTTGGCGAAAAAACACAGGGAATGGGCGTCCAAGCGATGGCGAGTTTTGTGCCGCCGTTGCCTCAGTTCGCCCGGCTTCGAGGTGCGCGCTCGGCGGGGCGTCCGGGGTGACGAAGGGCCCGCACGGAGGCGCGGAGATGGACGGACACACCGCCGTGTTCCGGGGCAACCGCCCGCCCAGGGGGAGTGCTGCGCCGATGTCGGGGCAAAGGCCGACTTCCTGGACGTCGGCCACGACTGGTCGGGCGCCGTCTCGCTGATGGGCGGTGAGAACGCCAAGGTGATCAAGTGCGCCGACGCCGTCGGTTGTCCCAAGGCGGGGATCACTGTCCGCGGGGACCTGGTCAGGTGCAAGCCTGGCTAGATGGCCGCCAACTGGGGTCCCGCCCATTCCTTGGTAGGTTGCACGCACACGAACATATCGAGGACGGTTACCACGGGATTCCACACTGCAAGGCGCGTTGGCCACACCGGGCCTTCAGGCGTTCTTCACGTTCCTGCCCGTGCGCGGCGAGCTCAACTTGTACGGCTTCGGGGGTGTAAGCACGGCAGATGGCCATAAAAAATTGACCAAAGGACATAGTTGATTCCAGGAGCACCTCATTCAGGACCAGGTCATCAACAGACAGTGGGGTTCCGTTCCGTGGAGGAACAAGTTCAGAAAGTTTGATTCGATGAGAAAGCACATGGGAGAGGTGAGGAAGGTCGTCGGCACGGTGGCGTGAGCTCGAGCGCCAATATTCGATCACCGGCTATTTACCAAAAATGTCGTGTAATCAATTGGTCTTTCTGCCGCAGACATCTTGTCGGTCGCTCACGTGCTCCTATTGGGGTGCCTGGTCCCGAAGGGCCAATGCAGCGCATCATTTTCCCGACGGTTTTTGCCGCAGTATGTTACAATCTAAATTTAGGCAGCTATCTGAATTTAGCCAGGGCGCGTAGGACGAAAAGGGCGCGTTCCTACCTGCGGCGCCGGCGGCCAAGGAGTTTGCTGCCGCCAGCCCCACAGCCCACCATTTTCTGCCTTTCGCGCGACTCCCCTCTGCCTGCCTCAGTTCTCCTAGCCCCATTACAGTGGAGACCCATGCCAAGAAACACCCTGCTTGCTTCCAGGGCGCCCTGGGCTTCTTGGGTGTCGATGGTTTTGCGATGGAAAGCGCGACGTTCTCCCACCCAAATCAGTGGACGTCCTGGGGTCTCAGGGTTGGGTTTCTTCTGGTCGAGCCCCTAGTGTAAATACTCCCCTCCAGCCATTGTGTTGGTCGCCGTTCCGTTGGGCCGCCTTGGCGCAGAGGGCAAAGCCCACTGGCCAACCGCAGCGCCTTCATTTGTTCTCCGTGGGTGGCCACGAGTCGGCCATGAGCAGCGTTCGCAATTCGGATGCACCTTTTGCACCGCACACACACACACACACACACACACACACACACACACACCGAAGACACGCTAAGGTCGATGTAGGTTTCGGTAGTGTGGGGACGCGTGGCTCGTGCATTCCTACAAGTCGCTGTGTCGTTTTCATTCGATATGTTCGCACGTTGGAGTTGTAGCAAAGTGCGGCTCGTGATTTCCTACAACTCAGTTCCCAACACCACCGTTAAGCAACATCGCCGTTAGGGAGGCCTTGGACCCAGTGGCGCAGGCTCGCGCGGGCCGGGAGAATTTGCACGCCTCGCCAGAAGAGACGGAGGGGCAATGCAAACGGGGGTCAGTCAGAGCGCCGGATCTTGCAGGATCTTGCAGGGCCAGGGTGGCATTGACCTGGGCTTGGGCGCAGGATCCTGCAGGATCTTGCAAGGCCTGACTGACGCGGGTTTGGATAGATCCTGGTCAGAGGATCCTTGAAGAAAGAGTCAAGAAAAAGGAGGCCCCAAAGAGCTTCCCAGACAGGCCTCTCGTCCACGACCCTGGCACGCGGCCGCGGCCCCCGCCGGCGAGCAAGAATCTGCGGCCGTTTTCTCTCTCCCGATCCGCCCCTCCTGATTACCTCCGCTCCACTCCCCCTCCTCTCTCTACTACCTCCCACCCTCCATCATCTTGGCCTCCTCCTCCAATTGCCTCGTGTCCAACATCCGGCTCCGTCTCCAGCCTCCAACTCCCTCAGTCCAACTTCTTTCCACCCGCTTCCGGTATCCACCGCCATTTACAGTCGGACCGAGGTGTCAGATCGAGGTCGGCTCGGGGAGGGGTATCCCCATGTTCTGCGTGTTTGTTTGACGTTTTTGTGCACACTGGGGGAGCGCACCCTCGAAAGATCCTGAGCTTTGGGGTGTGTTGGCCGGCGGAGAGTCTCACGTTCTTGGAACATGCCCTTCTGGCCCAGGTCCGATTGTACATGCTACCTCCGCTTTCCCCCAACTCCCCCCACTTCTCTCGTCCTCCATTTCGCTCGTCCTTTCTCCTCCCTCCTCCGATTGTACCTGCTCCCTCCCTCCTCCATTTCGCTCGTCCTTTCACTCCTCCGCTGCCATTTTGGCTCGAGGGGTCTGCTCCTGAGCTTCCCCATGTTCCGTTCCGGGGCCGCCAGACAGGGCCAGGCAGGGGCGCGCGCGGCCCAGCGTGCGAATGCCTTGCCTTGCCTGGTCGGCTCTGCCTGCTGCGGTGCTGCGGGGGCCACGTGCGAGCCCTGCCCCTACCCCCCCCCCCACGATTGCTGAGGGGGAGGGTGGGGTTCGCTTCGCTCGGGAGCCCCCGAACGAAGTGAACCCCACCCTCCCCCCCAGAAATCGTGGGGGGTACGGGTCGGGTCCGCATGTGGCCCCCTTATGCTGGTACCGTTTTTTTTTTTGATTCACCTCTCCAACCCCCGCAAGACTTGTCCGATTTGCCAGAGTAAGTTTCCTGGCGCGGGACAAACTGCGCCGCAGGACGCGGTGGAGCGTGGGCAGAGAAATGGCAAAAGAAGGAGCAAGGGCAAGGGCAAAGCAAAGAAGGCGGCGGCCGATGCCGCGGATGGGGTGGTTCCGCTTGCTGCCGCTGCTCGCGCGTTTGCGCCTCGTCGGAAGCAGGACACCCGTTCGTTCAAGGAGCGTATCGCAGCCCCCGTTGGATGATGAGGTGTGCGCTTTGTTCTGATATGTTATCTCTGATGAGAGTCTTGACTGCGACATGGAGGGGGGCGATGAGCTTGAGTTGGTGGTTACGGCTACCGGGTAACATTCTCTCATGAAGGCCGAGCAGTCATACTTCGATAGCCTTCGGAGTATTGCTTCTTCTGCCCAGGACCAGCGTGAGCGTGCCCGCGTTCAGTCTGAGGCTGCAACAGCTCAGGATAAGAAGACGGCCACGTTTCCCCATCCTTCCCTGGCAGCGAGCTAGTTTGCATCAGCGGGTTCGTTGGGCCTGTAGGAAGGTGGAGAAGGCGGATGAGGGTCTGGAGCAGCCCGGTGAAGATTTTGGAAATGCTTGAGGGGATATCCCATGTGGAAGCTGAACATGGTCGTTTGCAGTCTTTGTTCGAGCGCTGGCAGGGTCCTCTTTCCAGGGCCCCCGCGAAGTCTCGGTTGCAACCTTGCTTCGGATTGGGCAGTCGCTTGACCCCCCGACTGTTTGGAAAACTGCCCTGGGCATGATTGTTGATATTACAACAACTTCCCCTCGTGAGATCGTTGCCCCAGTGAGCAGCGCTGCTCACATCTGGGCCTGGCAACGGGCCTCAGATCGTCACCCCATGCATCGCCATTCGACTGGACACCCCTTTTCTGGATCCCACCAGGACCTTGCTGCGCAGGAAAGCCCATGGACGGGGCGAGGTCCAGCACCGTGTTTTGCGCACATTCATGGCAGGGGAACCTTTCTTTGAGCAACAGTCCTCTCTGCGTGGATGAATCCCAGTCCACCAGATCTCTCACACCTTGCATGAGCGATGGTCTGTCTGATGTTCGACGGCGGCTCGGTGCAACACCTCTCCCCTCCTTTCCCCGACCCCGTTTGGGAAGTTGCTCGCGATGGACCTGTATTCCCGTCGCGTGCACATGGAGACGGCACGGGGATGTGCGGCCTTTCCTCTCTGGCACTTCACGTGCCACGCGCGGAACTTTATGCGTGCTACTACGATAGTACCCAGGCGGCTCCTAGTCCTCAGTATGAATGTATGACTGATGTGCAACACTTGATTGCTATGCGGAACCTCGGTTTTGAGGCCACTACACGGGTGGGCTCAACAATGCTTTGCGTGGAGAGAGGTCCACCGCGTCGCAGCTGACATAGTCTGCGATTTGATTCGTCTGACCGAGGCTCGCTGTCAGAACAGGCTAGATGAAGGTGTATTTGTTCGAAGGCAACCAGGAGGCCGACCGTCTTTCCATGCTAGGGGAGGCGATCCACTTCAGGGATCAGGCCAAGTTGGATTGCGTCGCGAAGTCAAATGCACTTGTCACGCACTTGCGCGTCGACCATTGCATTGTTTGAAACTTCAAGCACATGCCAAAGGATGGCTGGCAGGCCGAAATAAAAGCCCCTCCCCCCGCTCGCCCGCCCTTTCGTTCCTCCTCTCTGGCGTTCGGGAAGGGGCGTTGCACGAGCACTTGTGGGGCCCCAGCATTGGGCGGTTCAGGCGCGCAAATTGTTGGTCCAGTTCTGTTTCCAAACAGCAGTTTATTCGAGCCACTCGCAAGAACCCAGCCGGCGATGGCCATGTTTTTTGTTCGGAGGTTGTGCGATATAATTGCACGCGACCGCCGCGGACAATATCGTCGGACCAATGTTGTTGTTTCGAAGTTTGCTTGCCAAGGTCGGCCAAGAGCCCATGGCGCAGCTCCCAGGCTGACTAGGATGAGAGATGGTGGCATCCTCGGAGCGGAGTGACCCTCTGCTCGGAAGTGCCTTTAGACCAAACCCTCGTAGCGCATGCCTTCCCGCGGCCGACTGACATTTTCTCTGTTCAGGCATTGCGCGACCCAGATTGGCTCCTTGAAGGCTTGCAATTTGGGTGGGTGGATTGGGTCACGGGAGCGGCAGGGGGGGCGGCGCCGTTTCTTGGGCCCACCTCTCCGACCGCAAGACTTGTCTTTTCTGCAGGCGCATTTTCTGGTCGGCCCCTGATGAGCGACGTCTAGGCCTGCTCGCCCAAGTTCCTATGCGCAGTGCACATTGTCCCTCTCGCGGCCACGCCCGCCCCCCCCCCGCTGGCGCGCGCGCCAGTCTCGCGACGAGGCATCGAGAAGACCAGAGTTGCCTCGCCGCTTCTTCTTATGTCTGCTTGCGAGAGGGACAGTCAGAAACGCCCGCCCTCGCCCCGGGCGAAGCCGCCGAAATGTCAGCCCCCGGCGAGCGCCGAGCCGCGGCATGAGCCGATGCCCGTTGCGTCTGGCTCGTCGGTGAGCTTTCAGTCTGAATGGGGGGCAGGAGAGGCGATTGAGGACT